TCACTGTTTTGGGACCCAGCCACCAGTAAATGGCTTCTGAAAGAAATCCAGAATAAGCAAGTTATTGACTTGACTCCAGAAGAGAAAGGGGGGAAAAGAAAGGAAAATGCAAGCTACTTCAGGTTTTGTTTTGATCTGTCCCCTGAGTCTAATACAATACATTTTGTATTGCTTTGAAAACTGGTTTGGACAGGTTTGAAACCACACCGAGTTCCTTCCACTGCCTGGGTTGGTGCTTCAATGCTGACGTTTCTTTTGCCGTTAGCAAAGTCCTTCCAGCCTGAGGTCGCCAAGTCTTAAGACCGTAGTTTAAGGTGTTAGTGTTCCTCTATCTGAAGCCGCCGAGAGCTTTCCTGTAATGCCCTGTGGTAGGGAGCTTGTTTAGATCCTGTAAGTTGCACTACTTACCCCCAGGAAGAAATGTAAGCATTAGTAAAAAGTGAAAATGATGTTTGAACAAATCGTCTGTTTCCCATGCCTCTAATTTAAGGCCGTATCTGCTGGCAGCCAGAGTATGTGGTTGAAAAAAATCTCCTCCAACACACTGTTTGGTCTCGTTTGAATTAAATGTGTCCCCTTTTGTAAACACAATGCAGCGAGACCGGCTGGTGTACAGAACCCTGAGTGAAATGGTTCACAGATTCATAGAGTCTCTGTTTCAAGAAATCCTCCCGCCCCCAAGTCTGAATATTCTTTACCTCATTCCGCCGCCGAAACATCGGCACTCTTCCCTGAGACCTAGAATTACGGCTAAGTGCTTTCTACCCAGGCCGCTCCCTTGCCGCTCTCCCCACAAACTGTTGACATTTCTGAGGGCACACTTCTGTCTTTTGCTTTCTTTCCATCCCTCCTGCCCATACCTTTGGTGGGTCAGAACAACGTTAAAAACAACAGTCTGGGAAAAAGGCCTGGGGAGGTGCCAGGTGTACCCCGAGGCATCGCTCTCTGCTCCTGTAGGTAGGGCCGGGGCTGTGGGTCCACGTTACTGATGGACTCTTTGCGCTCACATGCTCGACACCACAGCATCCTGATTTTCCACTCCCACTACTCCAAGTCCAGAGTGTGCTTTTATCCACATCGGGCTTTATCTTTTGATAACTACACCTCCTCTAGTGACAAAATGACTCAGGGACAGGATTCTGCATCCTGGAATCATTGCCACGTCTTCCAACGTGTTTCATTAATTCTTTCACTCAACCCCAGGGCCACAGAGCAGCTAGAAGAGGATGCCCTTCTGGAAAATTCAGGGAATTCAGTTTTGCCCGTGTGAGAATTATACACAGAAGCTATTTAAGACACACAGAGAATAATAGGAACAGTGTGTGTTTGGGCTCTGCCCTGAGAAAGTACTATGGATAATGATTCTTCCATATTCCTCCAGTTCCTCCATTCATTAATTGAAATGATTAAGCAGACGGGTCCAGCATTCACTTTCTCTGGGTCTGGGAAGCAGTTGCTCATAGGCCTCAGTACTTACCTTCTTGAGACCGTTGATTTGGTAATTTGCTTATTGCTTGTTTTCAGAAAACCAGTGGTCTATTCAAAGCGACCTCATCCTGGCTGGATTGAAGGCAGTAGGAGAGACTGGATGTCTGCCGACCCAGTCCCTCCCAGAATGCTTCCTTTCGCGTTTGAATCGCAGCCACCACTGGAGAATATTTAATACCAACCTCAAAATAAGTGTTTAGGAGCCTCTCAGTGGTGGTTTAAAATAATTACCATGAAGGCTTTGGTAAAAGCCTGTATCCACAAAACTATTTAAATTATATAATTGCGTCCCCATCTCATTCTTCCTTTTCCTGGATTGATCTCTCTTTACTGCAGACCCCGACCCCAACACCAAAACACAGGCTGGCTACGCATTCGACACTCCTCTCCCTTCCTCGCTCCTGCTCCCCAAGTGAGACCCGACGCTCACAGGGAATCCTTTTCCTTATGGAACCCATCATGATCCCGAATCTCAAACCTCTGCTGAGGTTTGAGTGCAATTTATCAGCACTCCAACTTCCTCCTCTTACCTGTTTCCATTTTGTGACCCTTGACCTTTCTCGGATGGCATGACCCCTCTGGGAGATTGGACTGTTTTCTCATCTACAGTGTTTTACATCTACCTGCCTTCAGGAAAACCCATATTTGTATATCAGCAAAGCATGGGATTTTTTTTTTATCCCCCCCCTCCATTATCTCTAGCAATATATATTGATGGAATGCATTTGTTTGGCTGCCTTCCACTAAGCTACTTTGGAGGACCTCTCTGACCATGTGTTTTTAATGACTTCACCTTCTGTCTGCCCTTGCCCATTTTGGAGAAATTGCTTTATATTGGTTTGGTTCTATACACATATGTTTTTAAATATTATATTCTAATTTAGGACAGGAATTTAGAAACACCAAAGGTTTTCGGTCAGAAACTCTGTCAAAGAGCACTAGTCTCCTGACTGGGATGCATACTAAATGGACCAGTTGTGTATAAATGTAGATTCTCTCCGCTCTCGGGTGTATATCCTTTTACTGTGGCCTGCAGTAGCTGAAAGAGCAGTTGATATATGTATTGCGTATGCGTATTTGGTATGTCCAGTGTTCCACTGAATCAGTAACACATTGTAGAAAAATAAGTAATACCCAATGGTTTGTTCAAGTTGTTATTACAGGAGTCATAACTCACTCTTTAAGAACGTGCTAACATTGTCCATACTTGATATAGTCAGACTATGTTATTAAAAATGCTCCTGGAATGTTCTGTTAATTTGCAATTTTAGGGTGTGAACATTTGGTCAGCATAAAAGTAGGAAAGAATAAAACACGCCACCAAAATAGCTAATAAAATGTGTTTAGATATCAAGTTCATATATGTTTTCTTTTTAATATTTGTCCTTAAATTATGGTAAATTAAATACAAAGTAAAGTAAGTCTCCACTGTCTAGGGGACATTTACCTACATGCTTAAAAAATATTCAGTGCCTAAGAATTACCCTAATGGTGCGATAGCTGAAGAATATGCTGGAAAAACAAGTCTTATGTTTATCATTAATTATTTTAAAGAAACATATATTCAGTTGCTCATACAAGAACATACAAATCACCACAGAGAAACTCCATTTTACTTTGTAATCTTTGAAATGAGCTGTATCAGATTGTTCTGCCTCCAGGCAGAAATTGTTAAGGAAAAACAGACATTAATTATATAAATATTTCTCCTCCCACCATGCACCAGGAGCTACATGCCATTTGAGAAGAGGTGATGTTCTCAATGCTAGTCAGGTTTCCAGATAATGTTTATGTAATAGAAGGCGTGCTGGGATAGTTGAGTTTTAGCAGCCACAGGTAGATAGGAACATTGTCATTGGGAGACTTCATAAGAACGCTTAGAGTACTGATCCCAGTACTGAGTGAGCCTCCTGGATTGTCTGTCGCTCCTCGGAGCTCAACAGTTCACAGGTGCTACTCCATCACCTAGGTACCTGTGTTGGACCTGATGCCAGAGCGGGATAAAGAACTCGGGTGTCAACTTTGTGCTGAGTAAGCACTGGGTGGGACACGCTCTCCTCAATAAGGACGTCAGCACACCACATCATGACAGTCACTCTGGAGAGTTAACACTAACCCAATCTCATGAATAGGAAAAAACTGGACTCACAGGAGTCCAGTGAGTCCTGCTCAAAGAAAGAGTCACTAGGTGACAGAGCCAGGCTCCAACTCAGGGGACTCAACGCCACCTCAAGGGAGGTTGTCAGATGTGTATGGTGAGTCCAGCCAGCAAGAGTTAGATGGGCACACAGCTCTACCACTAACAGGAAGTTCTTTCTAGAACTCTAACTTATGTAGCTGCCTCATCTTACCCAAAAGAGATTTGCATCTAGGTATGGTAGTACACACCTGTAATACCAGCATCAGAGAAACTGAGGCAGGAATTTCTGGAGTTTGAGACAAAACTGGGCTACATATTGAGTTTTAGACCAGCAAGAATCTCAAATATCAATCAATCTCTCTCTCTCTCTCTCTCTCTCTCTCTCTCTCTCTCTCTCTCTCTCTCTCTCTCTCT